CAGAATTTCACCTAGTAATTCCTTGAACGAGTCACTAACTCAGTTGAATAAAAAAAATAAAATTCAAAATCCAAGCTTGATTTAAACTGCTGCACCGTACATCCGCCTTGGCCGTGCTTAACCCGAGCCCTGGGCAGCAGGGTTTTGACTTCATCCTCAAGCCCCAGCAAGTCTAACACCAGTCCTGACAACCCCATAAAAACAGGGTCATGACCCACGAGGGGGGGGGGGGGAGAGGGGGATTTTGGAGAAGTGGTGTCTTAACCCAGTTTGAGAACCACTGGTTCGCAGAATTTAGGGACAAGAGAGTGAGTTCTCTGTTGTAGACATTTTGTTCTGCCATAGTATCCAGAACTTCATCTACTAAAGTAGTTCTTGCTCCTAAAAGCCACTTAAGAAGGGTCAGACTTTATATATGGAGACCAGTAAAACTGTTGCGAGATTAAAAGTCTTACACGTAGGAAGTGGCGTCTATATCTCTTTATCTGTTCTCGAATCTTCTCATCAAAGAGGACTTCAGTCAAAACTAGAGGGCCCATAGCCTTTACATCCAGTCTCTCCGCTTCTGCTACAATATCTTTGTCAGAAGTCTCAATGACACCTTCTTCCTTCTTTTTCTGCAGGTGAGAAATTTGTCAACTCAGATGCTAACAGGCCTATACTCTCCTTCCCCCCCCCCCCCCAAACCACAACTGGTTACACTTAGAAAGCTACACCACCTTAGAACAGTTTACCATAATGACTTCAAGTATTATTTTGAGCTACTGTTCTTTAGAAAGAGAATTGCAGTTTTACCTTAACAAAATCAAATAATATGTTGACTCTCTCTTCTACTGTTCTTTCTAGGTCATCACTAAGTGTGAGGTTCTTTGCATGATCACTGATTTCATCCATTCTGCGCCTCTGGGCTTCTTCAGTTGTGTCTTCACCCCAGTCATCGTCATCATCCTCCTGAGGAAGAGCATTCACAGAGTTAAACTCTTAAGGGAAAGGTGATGCTCTGCTTATGGGTATATTAAATACTAAGGCCATTCCAAGGTAGATTCTACTGTAAGTCTGTACTTCTGGTGTGAGTGGACGGGGAGTACTCAAATTCCTAGGGTCGCCCCTCACCTTAAGTTATTCACAAGGCATCCCTATGGGGACTACAGTAGTTACCTATAGAAAAAGCTAACACTACGCTTAGTATTTTAGTCATGTATCCAGCTTGCACTCCCCCCACCCCCACCCCCAAAAGCACAGCACAGAAAATAGTCTAGTGGCTGACTAACTCCATTAACCACTTCATGGATTAAACTGCAGAGCTAAGGATGGGATATGAGGCTACCTCCCCCCCCCCCCAGCAGCTTAGGAAGCTCCAAGGGAGTAGGAAGGAAGGGCTTCACTATCATGTGATGGTAGCAGCTTCCCATCACAAGAGCCAGCGTAAGTGGCTCAGGCTATCTATACAGCTTATTTTCAGTGCAGATCTTTGATAAAAGGAACAATCACTATTTCAGAGAGCAGTTACAAGTGGAAGTGTTACCTGACACTAATTTTGAAGTCTAATTTATAAGCCAACTTCATTGTTCTTTACAAGTCTACTTACCACTGGACGTGGAGGGTCATGTTCGTCTGGTGGCGGCGGCAATGGTGTCTCATTGCTAGACACAGAACCATTCTCTTTATCCTTGCCTTTTCTGTTCTTCTTTTCCTTTTCTTTCTTTCCTGTACTAGTGTCACTGTTCTCTGGAAGTAAAGAGACTGGATACTTTAATTTGGTTCCAAGTAGGAACAAGACCTCCACTTAGTGAGACAATTTGTCGGCACTATTTCAAGTGTACCAGATCCCCACAATCTAGTTTGAAGTTTTAGTTTAATTCAGTATTCCAAGGCTCCTTTTCATGGTGCCACCTCTCCCTCAATGTGAAGGTTGTGCCAACACTGCAGACCCCATACAGCATGGGGTGAAGTTAGTCTTAAGACAAATAAAGCAACATCCCTTGCGTCCAACCAGGCTAGAAACCAACAGCCACAATTTGACAGATACTGGAGACCTAGTTTAAGGGTTACACATTTTAAGCACTATTCTTCCTCCCCCGTTTTGAACATCAGAGCCATGATTTGGTGAAGTGCGCATATATCACGCCCACTAGAGACCTGGCAGCAGTTTAAGGTCAAAAGGGATCACTATACTCCTCTTGTCCAACATCTGCCATAGTATAGGCCAATAGTCCTCAACCTTTCCAGACTACTGTACCCTTTTCAGGAGGTGGATTTGTTTTATGTACCTCAAGTTTCATCTCACTTAAAGAAATTTACAGAAAAGTGTCAGCACATTTTTCATTTTTACCATACTCTAAAATTGCAACCCCCAGTTTAGAAACGCTGATAGTAAGTAACTAGACAAGTCATTGTATGTATAAAGAACAGGAGTACTTGTGGCACCTTAGAGACTAACAAATTTATTAGAGCATAAGTTTTCGTGGATGCATCCGAAGAAGTGGGCTGTAGTCCACGAAAGCTTATGCTCTAATAAATTGGTTAGTCTAAGGTGCCACAAGTACTCCTGTTCTTTTTGCGGATACAGACTAACACGGCTGCTACTCTGAAACATGTCATTGTATGTATGAAATTTTACAGAGCAGTATAAACTGATTTTTGCTAGTGCTTTTTCCATGGAGGCGGTTATAAAATTAGGCAACTATCTAGAGGAGTTGAGGTACCCCCCCCCTCCCCAGAGATACACATGCCTGGTTGAGAACCACTGGTACAGGCCACAGAATTTCACCTAGTAATTCCTTGAACGAGTCACTAACTCAGTTGAATAAAAAAAATAAAATTCAAAATCCAAGCTTGATTTAAATACTTCAAATAGAGAACTTGAGGTCATTGGTAAGCCAATTCAGTAGTCTGTCACCCTCTGAGACTTTTCTAGCTTTGTTTCCAGCCATTAGTCTTGTTATACTTTTGTTTGCTTAGCAAGAGCTCTATCAGATGTCTCCCTGCACTTGTTGGCCATGGCCAGTTACATCCTCAAAAATATTACTATAGTAAGCCACCAATTTTGAAGTTGCAGAAGCAGTTTAGCTCAAAATAAAAGTTTGAGCTAGAGGTGTACATATTAAGCCACAAAACTTGAGTCAAGCCACTTTAACAGATTAGAAACATACTGAAGACCCTTGTACCAGTCAATTTTTTTTACTAGCAGAAACAGTAATGTTTCCTTGGTCCTTTGCATCCTCAAGCTCAAAGAGTGCTCAAATCCAAGCTGCAGTTCTCACTTAGAGAGGAGACTGAACCACACAGAGCACTAAAAACACAAAGTAAGACTTCCAGAGGAGAGTAAGAGTTTACTTTTGGAAGAAAGACTTCCAAAGCAATTTTTGTAGGTCTGACATGGGGACAGTCTGCCTTTGTATAAGGGTTTTGGTACTAAGCACTATAGCCCTGTGTAGGGCATTTACAGGCAGCAGCTAGCATGCAGAGTTAAGTTACTCATTTTGATTTTGCTTCCCATAAATCTATCAAGCGGATACCTGCAAGATTAACCTACAATTGTTCTCCAGGAGATGTAGCTCAGTGTGCTGTTTATAAGCTTGGGTGGGACTGGGAAGCAGTCTAGTCCACAAAGAGCTGGATAGTGGCTAGTGTGTAGTAACATGAATGTGACTTTTCTGATCTGCAAGTTCAAATAGGTTGTTAGAGTCTATATAACATATGACCTCATTTAGCAGAGACCACCGGAATAGGTTAGACTTTTTTATTATAGCAAGCTTAAATTGAGACAGGCAACTGGATATCTGCCACAGAGTGTTGCTTGCACAGAGTAACCAGTTAAGTCCTTCTCAGTGAAGGGCAAAAAGAAACTTGAATAACTCCACCCACCCTCAGACAAACTTCTACCTTTATGTCTCTTTCAGCTAGAAGAAAGTTTTAACACTTGGATTGCTTCCTTTATAAGAGGAAAAAATATGCACTTACCAGGTGGGTTTTTGAGAATGAAGGTGCAGAGTTTATGGTTTGTGTCAAGCATGCCTCGATAGCCACAGGCTTTGCAAGAGTTACCTATAGTTTGTTTCTTGGGATTGACATGCTGCCAGGGGGAAAGTCAAAATTAAAACCTTAATTCAACTCTGATATTACTTCTTTATGCCACAAACTTACACAATGTCCAAAGAGGCCAATATTGAGATTTAAGGTAAACAGGCTGATGTGAAAAGTTTCAGTTTATATATGAAAGTTATGCTAATAGTAATTTTTGCATAACCGATTATTCTTTAAGTATCTCAATCGGGATGTTTCTTTTGTTATGGTTTGAGACTGGAAACATTTCCAGACCAATACTTCAGAAGTTGGTTTATTTATAATCACAAGCTTCAGCTGAATCAGCTATTTTGAATGAAATTTCACCTAGACACTAGCATCAGCATGAAATTGACTTGAAGTAGTCAATTTTGTATGCATTAGCACTTGTGTGCACATTAATATCTAAGAATGTGTCAGTCCTGTGTATTTTTAATATCAGAAAAACCAGTTTGGTTCTAGAAAAAAAAAACAAAAAACAAACACTTAAGCACACTCACCAGATCAGTTTCAGGATTCTCACACTCAGGACAGAGAACAAATTTTTTAATGAATCCATCCAACATGTCTTGCAGCTTATTCGCCTCATGAGATCCATTGACAATGTAACGGTCATTCTTAACATCAAACTGGGTCTGTGCCCCCAGCTCACAACCAAAAAATTTGGTGGGATCTTTCAAAAGACAAAAAATTGACACATTAAAAGCCTGCCAGTAAGATCCTGGCAGCCAGGCCTGGCCTGTATACTAGGTCACATCTCAAATATAATTCATAATCACTAATAATGCTTGGCTGTACTCTTAACTAATGGGCCATGTCTTACGATTCTGTAAGAGGGGTCACTGTACAATGCTGTACTGGATCACGTCTTTCTAAGAGCTAAGTTCTAGCCAAGTAGTGTTTTACCCTAGAAATAAGAGATTTCCTTTTATTAAACTTTAAAGCCTACAGAGCCTATGTTAGTATTGCACTAGTTTCATAGCCATATTTTACCTCTAAACTAGTGCCGGCCCCCCCTCCCTGCTTTCACCATATGAGTTTACCCAAGCAATCCTTGAAGGCCAAAAAACCCTTATGAGGGAATTTCATGTTACTTTAAGAGTTACTTACACGTTGGAGGCCGATTAAGCGCCTTTGCAACGTCAACCATGTTGACTATAACTGTCTTTATTCCATTTCCTTTGCCCTCAACCTAAGAAGAAAAAAAAAGTTAAATTTACACAATTAGGTATACATGTGAAGGTCAATGACACTGTCTCAGGGCTGGTCCACACTAACCCCCCAGTTCGAACTAAGATACATTATTCACGTAGCTGAAGTACCTTAGTTTGAACTACAAGGTACTTACCGCAGGTCCACACATGGCAGGCAGGCTCCCCCGTCGACTCCGCGTACTCCTCTCGCGGAGCAGGAGTACCGGCGTCGACGGTGAGCACTTCCAGGATCGATTTATCCCATCTAGACAAGATGCCATAAATCGATCCCAGAAGATAGATTGCTTACCGCCAAACCCGGTGGTAAGCAAGTATAGATGCACCCTCAGTCATTTAAGAAATGCTACAAAGTTAAACACGGCTTAAAGCAGTATCAGTATTTATGGGAGAGAGATAGTGTGGTATAGTGGATAGATAGAGCACTGCACCAGAACTCATGACACTGAGGTTCTAGTCCTGGCTCTGTCACCGACCTGCTGGGTGACCTTGGGCAAGTTCCTTCATTTTGCACTCATTTCCTATTTGTAAAGTGTGGCTAATGATACTGGATCTCTCAAAATGCTTTACAAGAGACATACTGATAAAAAGCTCTATAAATAGTGCTTATATTCTGATTACCAGAGTTTAGAGTTACCTTTGCAATCAGACGGGGCATTTTGTAGCGATAGAACTGATCCAAAACACTGCGGTTGACATTGACAGACATTTTGTCTTATTAGTAGCTTTATCAATAAGATGAAGAGATCTTTGATTGCAGCTTTTTGGTATCTTCTGTCTGGAGAAGACGGGATGACATAAACGACTGCAAGAGTTCTCGGTCTCTGACATGAAAAAGTTTTCGCCACTGAGGCTGTGAGGTTCTTGCTTGTATGCTATGTTCCCCCAATACAGGTACCAATGGCTGCGCAACAGCTCTGTAAGTGTTTTAAAAATAAAAATAAATAAGGAAAGTTCATGGAAAGCTTTTGGCTGAAGTATATTCATACTGCAGGACACTGTTTAAAATTTCAGATCCAATAACTATTAGTTATGTTCTTTAATTAGTCTTATTTCTGCTGGTCATAAGAGTTTCCTATGCATGAAGTCAGTTATGTTTGACTACGTAGTCTCAGTTTGTATCATTATTACAGCAGCAGTTCCTCAGCTGAAGATGTCAACATCTGCTGTTCTGTAGAATGCCGACTTGTCATATGGTGCAAGTTTCCCCCATTTTCACTAGAGCACACTGAGACACAGCTAAAGAATGAGTTTACCATGTAAAAGGTTACCAGAGGAATGTTAGGTTATGAGATGGGAGGGGGAAGGTGCAGCAGTGTGGGGTAGGGCTCCCTTGGCTTCTGCTAGACTCAAGGTCAGTCTGAGACCCTGGGTTTTGTAACCACTGGTGCACTTTTATTCTCAGGCTTGTTCCCACCACATACAAGTAACTTTTCACCCTCTGCAGGCAGGCAGAGCTACCTCCCTGCTTCCATTCCCTGCCATTTTCCTTTCCTCCTGCTCCCTCTGGCTTCCTTCCCCTGAGATTTTTATGCAGCCCAAGGCTAATAAGGTAGCAGCTGTCTCCACCTCCCCAATTAGGGCCAGGTTACCTGCAGTCCACTCTAATTTGTGCCCCTAATGAGGAGTGGGCATGACAGAGGGCTGAATCTGCAATCCTTTGCCTGGCACCCTGTCACAGAAGATCACATAACAGTCTTGATATTAAGAGTTATATGCGATGAAAGTTTGACTGCTTTGGAAGAAAGAGGCAAGGAAAAAACAGCCCTCAAATCCTTGGTTATGGTATAACTGAATAGGCTCATTTTAAAGTGAAGTGTGGGGCTTATTTGTATCTAGTCAACCAGAATGCTGTGAAATACCTACCTGCAAGATGAATAAGCAGTGTTTTTGGCAATATAGAAGTTACAATATAGTTTGCTAAACTGTTATGGTTTGCCAACAGCTTGCTTTTCTCCTGGACTTAAGTGGCTAAATTTGTTAAAATTAACTAGTGCTTCTTTCCACCCATAAGATCGCTTAAGTGTAGCAGCCCCATTATGTGTCTACAGCAACTTCCCTCTGCACCTTTGATTCAGCATAGTAGTATCAACACCCATACACCCCCACCCCCAAATACTTAAGATGTTTTGCATTTCTAGACTTCCTACTTCTGTGGCACATAGATGTTCATTAACTTGCCCAATCCTTCCCTCATTTCTCAAAAGAGCCCTATTATTGCATCACTTCTGCTGTACATTTACAATTCAGTTTCTAAGCGGTACCTGAGATTAAATATTGACTTTAACCATGTAGGCAGATACTGCATTTGAGACAAGTTTATTCTTGCCAGTTCTTTAGAATGAGTGTACCTGCTACCACTGCTACTTCAAGTGGACATGTTTAGGTAACTTATTTAGATAGAAATGTGCTGTTTTATTGCCATTATGATTGAAGTATTTTGTACAAGTGTTTTTCAGTATTGAAAAAAAAGTTTCCCCAATATTTAGTCAGTAGCAGTAACTGAAAGTTGTTAGTCGCTGGCCAAGAAAAGCGATGTAGTAGGGGACATGTCAAAGGTATTAGCTTGTTTTTACATAATTAATGCTCCCTTTGTTTTCCTCAGTTAGTGAACACCTAACTGCGCCCACATCCCCCCTTTCCAACAAGCAGTTCTTCTCCCCTGGGATGCCTGTAAAATCCATGGAGTGAAAGCAAACTTTAGAAAGTGCAACTAATATCTTTACAAGTCCTTTGCATTTTACAATGCAAGGATCATCTTATACTACTTGATCTACAGGACCTGATCAATAGCACTCAGGCTTAGTTTTGCCACAAAGCAGCTAGAAGGAGCCCTTTATTGCGGGTGCGGGAAGGGGAACCCTCAGAGGTGGCAGTGCGTCCCACAGCAAATCTAAAAGCAGCCATCATGTGGCCTTACACACGTGGCTGCAGAAGCATGGTGGAACCAGGTACCACAGGGGAGGAAGACTGAAAAGTAGCCTCCTCCACATTGCTGCTTTTGTCTGCTGGCGACCGAGGCTCCCACCCACCTCACGACACCGCCCCCGCGCCCGCCGCGCTGAGCCAGCAGCCAGCCTCCCTCCCGCCGAACCGCCCCGCTCGGATCTGGGATGACTCATAAATGCAGCGATTAAGCACTGAGTCAGCCCTAAACAGAAAATGGGGGAGGGACGCCCCCAATCGCGCATGCGGGGGCCTCCGCGGCTTCTCAGACAGACCCCCCCCCTCGCCCCTCCCGACGTAACCCCTGGAGTGCAGCCCCCTCCCCCCCGCGCTGCGGCTTTCTAACTGCGCCACACAGCTCGCCCCTCCCCCCCCCAATCACGAGGCGCGGCCCCAGCCGCCGCCATTTTGCCTCGTCGCATGGAGACGCGGGGAAGAGGCCACCCGACTGGGATAGTCGGCGCCGCCGGTTACCCCCGCACTGGAGTACCTCAGCCACCCCCGTCGAGGCTGCCCGGACCCCAATCACCCCCCTCCCCCGCGTACTCCGGCCCAAGGACCCTCCCCCACGTCCCCAGACGCGCTCTCCTCGCCTCGCTATTTCCCCCTCCCCCCAGCAGCCACTCACCGTTTTCGTCCAATAAAGACATAAACCCAACGCTGCTCGCCCCGGGCTGCGACGAAGCCGAGTGTGTAAGGAGAACGGGGCCGAGGGGCGCTTATATCCGGGCGGAGGGAGGGCGGGCGCCGCAGCCGCCGGGTCCGAGCGTCCTGGGGCGGGCGGAATCAGCAGCAGCGGCGGCGCCAGTCAATCTGTGGGGGAGATACAATCAGGGCACCGTTAACGGCGGCACCTGGGAAGGGAAGGGGCGGGCGCAACGGAAGCCGAAGGGGGCGGTTGCCGGTTGCCCCTGCAATGGCTACCGCGTACTCACCTCTAGAATGTTCTCGCTCCAACTGAGCGACGCCACGGCTGGGATCAATCAGCCAGCGGCGGGCCGCGCCTCCCTCGCCCCACCATTAGCTCATCGCTCGACGTCCGCCTAAGTTATTGGCTGCCGCTCCTGTCTATCAATCCGCCCTTTCTCCCCCTCCCCCCAACGCCCTAAAGGACATCGCGTCTATAGTGGCCAAAGCTCGCGAGAACTAGAGCAGGGGGGTGGGGACGGGAAAGAAAAGAATGAGTCATTCAAACAGCCAGGCTGGGCTGTGCGTCAAGTGGGGGAGGGGCTGGCTGGCTGGCCTCTTTGGTCTCTAGTGTGGCCGAGGGCGCAGAAATGGTGCTGGTCACCAGCATGTACGTACTAGAATTGTCCATTTCCTTGCTTCTGTAGGCTGGGCTCAGTGCACCCGCCAGGGGCTCCTTGCACCCCCCTAACCGCTGTGTGCTAGCCTCTAATACCCCTCCCTGCAATCCCTGCCCCAGCCCTTATGCCAGGGGCTCTGTGCCCCTCCCATTCCTTCGTCCGCCCTCTCTTCCCCCATGGCAAGGGCTCCTTGTGCCCCTTCTCCCATGCCTCTTATTCTTCTATTCCCTGCAATGACAGAGACTCCGTGTGTGCCCCCATCCCTCTCTGCCAAATGTCAGGGCACTATGTCCCCCCTTCCCTCCAATGCCAAGGGCTCTCTATCCTCTCCTTCCCCGTACCAACCTTATTCTCCCGCTGTGCCAGGGGTTCCCATGTGCCCCCTGTTCCTCCGATCCCCCTTCCTCCCTCTTTCTGTCTGGGAGATAAATCTGAGTATCAACATTTTAAACTATTGGGATGATGAACACAGTTGAGATGGGGCTGTTGTTATGCTGGAAGGTGTTGATCGCTGCTGTCAAACCAGTTCTTTGATCTCTAGAAAGTTACGAAGGTGAATGAAACTGCTGTGTTTGCAAATTAGACAGAAGGCGCTCTGCATGTCCCCCTTTCCAGTTTTCCTCAAAATCAATAGGATTTTGGCCATTGATGCCTATAACATTCCCTGACATTTTGGAATTGATTGAATGAAGTGTCCGAAAGTTACTGCATTCCGTACCGACAGAGAAATGTTATCAAGCTCAGTGTCAGGCCTCATTTTGCTCAGCCAATAAGGAATCCATCTAGAGTGGGGTTTAAAATGCTAACCCCACAAACCGGCATGCAGCTTCCTACCTCTGCCGCTCGCCACGAAGGAGGCATGAACACCCAGTTCTCCCTGTCACACACATAGTTATTGTCCTTATTGCTGCCAACTCAGTTCTGATGGGAATGTGGCACTGAGCAGGGCCCGACCCCAAAAAAAGGCATGAATCTCCAATTCTCCCTGCCACATATACAGTCTCCATTAGCACTAACTCTCCTCCTTACTGGACAAACGAGCAGAGCTGTCTTCAGGGTATGGGGTCTTGATTTTGATAAAAGCAAAGCCCAGGAAAAGGTACAACACTTGTTTCTTGCAGACACTTACTATTCTTGTCACCAATATTGCTAGCTCCCTTCCTCACTGGACAGAGGCATTAAGTGGGGCCAGCTTTAGGAGTTGGGGGCTCATTTAAAAAATATTAGTCTTGTAAAGGGCATGAAATTCAACTCATTTTCCCACCCTCCACTCCCTCTAGCCAAGTATCTCAATTGCCATCTGCTACTATTACTACCATGTTCTCTTCCACTCCTCCTAAATGGCACCAAGCAGGGCCAGCATTAGGGTTTTTGAAGGCTCCTAATAAAGTAGGAATTCAATATTTTTGTCATTGTATAATACAAATAATGTAAAAACAGCAAGGCATTAAATGGGCATTTTTGAGATATTATCATGCCCATTAAATATACAAATCACTTCTCTGTCTTACTGTTCTCTGCTTCCTTATAAATGCACTCAGACAATAGCAGAAGAAACCTCAGACCTTGTCATTTGGCATGTTTTAATGATAATATTGTATAGTATTTTGAGTGCTGTGTAGAGGAGCAGAGGAGAATGGGATGGAGTGGACCACTTCAGAAATAAAATGATTAATAACAATAGCTAATAAAATACTTACAAAATTAGGTTTCCAAGCCATCTTTAAATTAGGCCATCGCTGGTACCAAGTTGTCACAGACAGAGGAAACACTTCTCTTGTTAGACCTTTTGTGACTCTGGAATGCTCTTTTTGGTCTGACAGAAAAAAGAACAACAGTCAAATGCAAAGGTGGCTGATAAATGTGGTTTTCCTAGAAGACACAAAGGAAAAGTCAGGCTATTATTAAGGACATGATCAGTGACACATTACAATGAAAAAGAGGTTATTTCAGCAGCAGCAGAGCTGGAGTACAGTTACCAGAGAATGAATGTGTGTTTTTCTCAGTGCTTAGTGCTGCGTTCTAACAAGATCCTCCTACATCATGGCTGCTGCCCTAGTTATACAAGTTCTCAGTCTACTGAATAGCAAGTGCTCAGGGCAGGACACTGTCCTATAAACCGTGTATTCAGAGCTATGTTGAGCTGACTGAATTAGGGAGAGGTACAAAATCCTTAGAGAGATTTTAAATGTCTCTTTGAAATGTGCACAATAAAATCATTCCCCTCAAGAGGGAGAGGTTTTAAAAACTGCCTTAAAATTTAAACCAAAACAAGGAAACGTATCTCCAAAATATGTGAGACTTGGCAATTATCAGGAGGAAAAAAATAATCAGAATGCAGGATGTAAGAAAAGTACAGCAGGAAACTTCTCTGCTGTGACAATATGCGTGGACGTATAACTTTCTCAATGCCTCCTTTCTGTGACTTTCATTTCATGGTACAACACATCTGCGGTTAATAAATTACAGTACTAAAAAATGTGCTGCTGCCAACACCACTTCACGGTATGACAGAGGGGCAACAGAGACCTTGAATTTGCAGCATTTTGACATAATGAATAACCCTAGTGAGGTCTGATTTCACAGTATTGATATGCAGATTAGATTTATATTTTATAATATAAAAAGTTACATAATTAATTTAATAGATCTGTTTTAAAATGTTAGTCCTAATGCATACTGCAGGCATTAATCCAATATGAGTGATGTCAGAGGACATTATTTTTAGCAATCTTTATACAAAATATACAAAAATTGTGGATTCTTTGCTATTTTGAGGAGCCTAATTTTTCATTTCATCTGATCAAAACAATCTTTTAAAATTTGATTTTAGATCTCAAGTACTTTTACTGATTGAAAGTAATTCTAATTTTGGACATTTAGAAACTACTGGCTCTGCAAAGACAGAAATCACCTTTCCCCCTTTTTAAAGTCATGCTTTAATGAGTCACAGAGTTCATAGTTCAAATTGCTGGTGTAACCTTCAAAGTACAGGCCACTTGTGAGCTTTGCATTTCACTGCTATAAACTAAGCAATTTATAACTATACTCCACTTTTGTTGTTAAGACATTCTTAACCCAGCTGCCTGGGTTTCTTTTTTATTTAATGGTGATTTAACTACTGACAGTAGGAAATTGTCAGCAATGAATCATTTCCCTAGAGTAAGCATTCCCTTATAGCAGAAATGCTTTATGATGGTTCAGTTCAGCTTTGAATAATTCAAATTTGTTTTGTTGTCTGATCTGGTTTTGTCAAAGAATCCATCTCCTCCCCCTCCCAAGAAGTGAATACCTGCTACATATGATACAGCTAAATTTAAAAAAATAAGAATTGAATTGATATTTATATTAAGATCTAAACCCACAAAAGCATGGCAATTCTAATAATCTGAAATGTCTGTAAAGTGGGATATCCATTGTTAGGCCATGTCTATACTGCAACTTTTAAGCAAGTTTGTAATCAGTTAGTAACATAGTTGGCTCTAACAATGCCGCATGGTTAATATTCAGTTATAACCACTCATGGCTGTGAAAAGCATTTTGACCATGCCAGTGTTAAGCTTCACAGTGTCTTCCTGTGACTGGTTTGGTGAAAGTTTTTTTACAGTGTGGGCAGGATCCTTAACTATGCCTGTGTAACTGGTTTGGTCAGTCTGCCTTCTTCCCAGCTCTCTGGGCTGTGCAGGGCATCCCCGAGTGCATTGTCTTGTGTGTGGTTTTGCCTGCATCTTTGCAGGATATCTCTGAGCACTCTGTTCCTCTGAGACACATCCTCTGATAGCTGTTCAGATTTTCCCAGAATGCACTGATGCAACCATGTTGGGGAGTGTGGCAGTAAATGCGCAAAAATGGCTGACTCATGCTTGTGTTGTGAGAAAAAATATTATGTGGACACAACTGAGCTTTGTCTGTAGTAATCGGGTCAGATGGGAGCCTCATTATTCTCCTTCAGACCGTGGCAATGAGAGGGGATAGCTTAATTATCTAGGTGTCAGGTTTGAATATGGAAACTCTTGGGAAGCACAAGTCCACCTTCCAGCTGGGTTAACACACTCTTGAAAATCATGCAGTTTACTGTGCAGGGGTCTTTCGGATATCTGTTCTGCATTAACATTAAAGATCCTGCAGCACTCAGAACAGAGGTATATTCTGTTATACTTGACCAGAGTATCAAGTATCCACATCCCCCACTATTGTGCAGCTTGCTGTTCATCTTGTTGAATGGATTTGGTTTGTAAAATGCCTTGGTATTTATGCTGTATAAAGGTAAGCTAGTTTTGTTATTTAATTAAAGAATAAACAAAATTAAAAAGGAACAGGAGAACAAGAGTGTAGTATAAGGTATATGTGTAGTCAGTAGATGCATAATTTTTTAGTTATTACTACTTATTATGGTAGTGCCTAGAGGCCACATCCAACACTGGGCCCCACTGTGCTAACTATTCAGACACAGAATAAGAGACAGTCCCTATTCCAAATATCTTACAATCTAAATAGACAAGACATTAAGAGGATGAGAGAGAAAACAAAGGCAGAATGAGGTGAAGCGACTTACTTTTTCAGAAGGTTAGGGTATACCCATTTTTTGCCAACTGCAAACAGTGAGGAAAATGTGTAACTATATATGCCAATCTCTCAGACCAGCATACAGCAAGAAAGATCAATGCAACTCACTGTGATTTCTTAAATAGAGGTGTGATGCTCTTCTGGGCTGTGGCCTGACAAAACACTAAAAAGTCTAATAAGCTTGGAAAGCCCATGTCTAAAATAGCCATTTCACTTCCAA